ACGAGGAACTTCAGAAATGGGCTGACACAGGCTTTACTATAAATATGGATTTACCTTTGCCAACACTGGTAAATATATGACATAAGAGTTACTCAGCCTGAACAGAGGTCCCTTTTCTGCACAGAATAAAGTGGACCCCAGAATACAATCTGCCACCTGATGACACAGCACTTGTTGTGCTAAAGAAATGCATATTAGAAGAAACCAAAGCACACAATCTGCAGCAATCAGAAAACACAGAGGAAAGAAAACAAGGAAGGGAAAGGAGATGCCAAGGCTCTGAAGTTACATTTTGACACCAAACATTTGCCTTCCCAGATTCATTCCCAGGTTCAAAACCTGCTGTTGGACTTGTGCACTCTTTTCTACTGTAGTCTCAGCTTAAGTGCCATGGCTAGAGCTCTACAATCATCAGTTTGATCCCAAAGCTGGCTAGGCACACTGGGGAGGCCAGCAGACTTCCGAAAGTTACTTCTGTCCACTCCATACACTTCTGTGTGCTACCAGCACTGACCAGACACTGAGGGAAGCACGCTGTCAGGACAAGCACACAAAGCACAACTTCACCTGCAAACTGCACGAGAAACATGGCAAGATGCTGGTCATATTCCAGGATTTCAGCCAGTTCTGCTGCTCCCAGCTTGCTTATCTGTGGAAAGGATGGAGCTCAATGTTGAGCTCCCACACAAGCCTCCAAGCACAGAGGGGAGCTCAGGTCCTAATGAGAGATGAACTGACCCTGCACTTCCCTGGGCGCCGAGAGCACAGCTTGGGACTGGAGCTGGCACATGGCAGCTCCATGTGTCACCATCAGTCTCCAGGGCCTGGCACCAGTAACACATTCTGGGCTGGGGGGGAGGTGGAAAGCAGGTGGAGGCGTGCTGTGTGTCCGTCTCACCGCGGAAGGGGTTTCACACAGCAGCACTTTCAAGTGCCACCATGCAGTTAAATAAACCCTGTTTGCATGCCTGAGATTAGCTGCGCTGCACAGGGTAATGTTCTGGTAATCCCCAGTGGCAAGAGGCACACTGCTCACCCCCTTTGGATCTGGAAGCTTGAACTCAAGAAATATTAACGTCAGAGAAGTTAATTGTTCCAGCAATGCACTCAGACAGAGTCCCTTTCTTCTTGGGCCCTAAAACCAAATACATAGCCCCAGCAGCAAAACCATGGAGAGTTACCAAATTGCTGAACTGTGCCCTTTACTTCCTGTTGTAACTCAAAACAAAGGGAAACATTCTTTACCAGTATGCATATGCACATATGCATGCTATGTGCGCTGCACGCACATAGGTGTGTGTGCACAGCCCCCACACCAAGGCACCATGGAGTGTTTTTGGAATGCTCTGTCAAACCACCTTCCCTCTCGACACAGCATCTAGGAATTCCTTTGTGGTAGCACTGGGATTTCTGGGGAGTGAGCAGCTCATCCTCCATCCCCTGGGTGCAGAGGGGATGCGCCTGGCCCCAGACAGCTCTGCCATTCAATCCTCCCCGTCCTGCCAGCTCTACTCCCAGCACATTCCAGGGAAACACCCACCACTTCCTAACAAATGCTCAAAAGCTCACCTTTTCAAAAATACATTTTGAAAGGTGAGGAACAAAAAGCTGTCAGGCAAAGTGAGGCAGCAGGCAAGACTAACTGCACACACCTACTGCAGGGGGATAAGAGAAATGAAAAGGAGAGGAGAAAAGAGGGAAGTCCCAAAAAGAACTCCAGCAGAAGCAGCAATAAGGATTATTGGAAAAGTCCTGGACCAGGGGGTGAGTGCTGCTGCCCAGCCAAGAGCCTCAGAGAGGCAGCACTAGCACGAGGACCTGGATGGGATCAGAGCGGCAGGATGCAGCATGACACTGGAGGAATGTCAGTAGAAAAGTCGGGGATTAGGGCAGAAATCTCACACCATCTTTGGAAGGTGCAAAGAATGCCTCTCCAGCAACACCTTATCTCTGAAAGTACCCGGAGATAGAACTTCACCCCTTCTAGGGGCTCGAGTCACCCGTACCAAAAACATGACCTTAAACTAAGAAACCTGACCCTGCGGCAGCTCAGGCAGAGCTTTCAACAGCTTGAGACAGAGGGCTTCTTAATGAGAAGTTATCAAATCCATCCAAGAAACACCGAGAGTCAAAAGCCAACCAGTCAGCTTCCAGAGTGGGAATGATGCGAGAGGCTGGAGTGAGAAGGATGCAAGTCTGCTAGATAAACTCCTGCCCAGGCTGCCTCAGCACTTACCATTGTCTGACCACTCCACTGCCACGTTCTGCAAGCTGGAAAAACTGATTATTGTAGCTGTGCAAGTGAAGTACAGGGGAGCTAGAAAGTGTGTGGATTAACAGGTAACCTATGTAAGGACTAACACACCTGGCACTGAAAACAAAAACACTTCTAGGCAGCAAGATGTGAATCTACATTGGTGTTAACAGCTGGACTTTGCACACACAGCCAAAATGAGGGCAAAATAATTGAGACAGTACAAAAGAAGCCTGAGGGTAATGCTTAAGGAAGCAAATAAACGCATGCATGTGCATACATATGGATGGTAGGCAAAAGATATTTATGGAGCAGGGCTGTGGGAGAGCTACAGCCCATCGGTATCTGTGGTTACTGGTATGAGCGTGCCGGAACCTGACAGTGCTTCCTACGTACAGTCTGGCCGTCGGAGTGGATCCAGCATAAGCTGAGCTGGGCATGGCTGAGCCTGCCACTGCTCCGAGAACTCAGCCAGCTACACCCAACCATTAACACCGTGACAGCTACACCCAGCTGGTGAGAAGCTGCTACCGCTTTCCCCCCGTTCTTCGCAACCCAACCCTCCCGCAGCACCAGAAGTGCCCCGTGTGGCAGTCCCGTCAGCTCAGCAATCACTTCTTTAAGCACATCTCACTTCGCCGACCCCTCAAAGCTACCACCCGGTGCCGACTCGATCACCAGCAGAAGGCAGCCTAGAGACTCTGCCACCGCAACTTAAACCCCTCGGAGCAGCCCCCCCCCGCCAGCCGAGCGACATCGGAGCTCTGGAGGTGTCACCACCAGCAGCGGTCCCCGGAGCTCTCGGGACCCCAGTGACGGCGATGGTCAGCGAAAGCCGCCCCGAGCCGCCTGCACCGGCCGGAAGCCAACCCTCGGCCGGCTCGGACATGAGGGGCGCGGGCTCGGCCTGAGGGGCAGCAGCACGCACAGAAGCGGAGCGCACAGCAGGCCCCAGTGCTCCGGGCCCACACCACCGCCCTCCCCGGCGAGCAGCACCGGGCCGCGGGCGCAGCAGGCCCAGGCGGCCGCTCCCCCTGGAGGTCTCCCGAGGCGGGGCTGAGCCCTGCTGCCCGGACACCGAGACCTCGCAGCTCGGCACGCCCAGCCCTAGCCCCGCACTCACCGCCAGGGCCCGCTCCCGGTCCCGGTCCCGAACCGCACCCAGCACCTCCCCGTCCGCCCTCCGCGAACATCCGCACCGGCCCCTCCGCGCGCCCCCGCCACAGCCGCCCATTGGCTGTCAGGCCGCTCAAAGCCGGGGCGCTGCGCGCAGGGCACGCCGGGACGGTGGCGGACTGCGCCTGTGCGGCTGCTGGAGGGGAGGCTCCCGTTAACACGAACAGCGGCGGCGGCAGCGGGGTTTATTGGGCTGGAGCACAGCTGCTGCAGCGCTGCCCCTCTTCTGGGGCAGGACCGACCCATCCCTCCTGCCCCTTTATCCCGAGGCACCCACCCGCGCCCACAGAATCCCAGACTCGGGTTTGGTTGGTTTGAAGGGACCTTGAATCTCATCCAGCTCCAACCCCTGCCACGGGCAGGGACCCCTTCCACTGGAGCAGCTTGCTCCAAGCCCCTGTGTCCAGCCTGGCCTTGAACACTGCCAGGGATGGGGCAGCCACAGCTTCTCTGGGCACCCTGTGCCAGCGCCTCAGCACCCTCACAGGGAAGAGCTTCTGCCTAAGAGCTCATCTCAGTCTCCCCTCTGGCAGGTTAAAGCCATTCCCCTTGGCCTGTCCCTACAGGCCCTGGTCCAACGGTCCCTTTGCTCCCAGCGTGACCTGGAGGTGTCTCCAGGAATGGAGCGCCCCCTCCAGCACAGGACTGGGAGAGAGGAGGCACAGATCAGCTCCCTCCGCTGCGGGGGATGCTCTGCCTCCGCCGTGCCGTGCCCCCACCAGCATCAGAGCCCAGCAGCAGCGGCTCCTTCCCCCCAGTCACTGCCCCGTGTCTCTGGCACTGAGGGCTCTGCGGAGCCGGATCCCCGCTGCGGGTGCAGCAGCCGTGGTCGCTGCAGGCTGCACGGCGGCGGCTCCGGCTCTGCCGTCCTGCCTGGTTCCATGCCCGGGCACGAGCGCTGCTCCGCGCTGTGAGCAGCACAGCGCCGCAGAGGCAGCAGCGGGCGAGCTGGGGGAGCAGCAAGAGAGCACGTATAAGCTGTCTTCATTCCCACCGGACACCCACGGCCGGCGGCTGCGGGGGCTGCTCCGGCGGTACCGGTGAGGGTGGGCGGGCGGCTTTGCGAAGCAACAGCCGGCGGAGCTCAGGCTCCATGAGAACAGGCAGCAAACACCCTGCAGGCAGATGATAGGGCGGTCCCAGCACTGATTCAGGCTGGATCCACCTACGAGACACCAACGCACCCGCAGCGCCAGGACTGCGCCATAGACACCTTCCCTTGGGCTTATTCCGTGTTGCACAGCTTAGGAACAGCATCAGCCGTGTGACGGGCAGTTTCAGGCCGCCTTTCCCGTGGAAGGTGAATGCCACAGATCACCTTGTATTTGAGTTTGTTTAATGGCACTTTTATTTTTGCTGCTCACTCTAGGGTGAGGAGGCCTCGGGACCAAGGCAGCTTCTGGATGAGGACTGGACATGGCCTTGAACAGTCGTGGCCACCAGCCGAGCAGATGGCAGAGGTGAAAAAAACTGCTCTTGTGAGCATAGCACCCTCATTTCAGATCAGGGAACGTTCTGAGCTAAGAAACCTGACAAATTTTCATGCTGGGTGGATTAAATAGACATTTAATGAGAATCAATGAAATCTGGTTATAGTCTCTGGCAGGGCCAACAGGCTGGCCAGCACTGCAGCACGGCAGGGCACATGGAAACACTCCCATGGGACGAGTCAGTGCATGGAGACCCTTGCAGTCCCAAATCCAGCCCACAGCCCTGGTGGGATAGAACACCGCTCCTGCCTGGGGCTTCCCAGGCTTGGAGGCAGCTGTTCTTCCTGCTCCTTCAGCCAGTTACTCATTAACTCCCTTAAGAGCCCAGGCCAAACAGCAATGGCACAGCCCGTGCGGCCCCGCATCTGTGCTGCCCTGCTCACCCTGCCAGCTTCCATGTGGATACCGCTGCTGCTGGGGTACAGCAGGAGCCTCCTGGGGGTCCCAGTGCCATGGCAGAGCCCAGACTCACGCCCCTCATGGCTGCAGGGGACAGGGCTGGGGAATGGCCCAGGCTGCAGCTGTAGGATCCCGAGTTTGGTTTAGGATGGGCAGCGACTGGCAGTGCTTGTGGTCCAGGACAGACTTACGGACACGAACACATCCTCCCAGGATCTACTGCCAGAGAGCTGGTGCTGCAGGCAGAGGGGAGGGCAGGAGGAGCCAGTCTGGGCAGCAATGGGCAAAGGATGTTGGCTTGCAGAATGAGCGCTGAGGGCTTGGATCTGGGAGACACCAGGCTGCTCTTGCTGAGCTCTCCAGGCAAAACCCAACGTGGGGTACCTGGGGCTGGTGCCGACCAGGCCGTGCTGTGGGAGGCTGGAATTTGGCCATGCCAATGTGGAATTAGCATCCAGATTGGTCCCACCCTGGTCCGTGACCTCGTCCAGAGCCAGCAGGCCCCAAATTCATGGTCACGATGCAGGAGATGAGCTGGAAAGCTGGTGACAGCCGCTCCTTACCATGTCAGTGCTGGAGCTGCAGGCAGGACACAGTGGGGTCAGACTTGGTGCCTCTGCTGGAGAAGCGGCGGCCGTCGCCCGAGTGAAGGAGGATCCTCTTCACACCCACAGCCAGCTGGGAGAGCTGCAGCCGCACGTCCCTCTGCCAGAAAGAGTAGAGCAGTGGGTTGAGGAGGGAGTTGCCCAGCCCCAGCAGCCAGAGGTAGTTCTCGATGACCCTGGTGGGGAAGCACTCGGAACAGACAGTCTGCACGATGCTGGCAACAAAGAACGGCAGCCAGGACAGCGTGAAGCACCCGATGAGCACAGCCACAGTGCGCATGGCCTTCATGTCACTGGTGGTGCGGGCCGGCGGGCAGGCAGCGCCCGCCAACCCTGCCTGCTCCACCTCCTGAATGTGCTGCACGTGTACGGAGGCGATTTTCAGCATGTCGCAGTAGAGATAAATAAAGAGGAAGAGCGCTGGGAAGAAGCCGACGCAGAAGACAGTGAGCATGTAGGTGGGGTGGAAGACCCCGAAGATGGAGCACTTCTCATGATGGGTGACCTTCTGAAAGCCTGGGGTGAGGACTGGGAGGAAGCCAATGATGGCAGCCACCAACCAGAGCCCCGCCAGGTGCACCCCAACCCGCAGGCCTGTCATCAGCTGGAAGTAGTGGAAAGGCTTCCTGATGGCCAGGTGCCTATCACATGCGATCAGGGTCAGGGATAGGATAGAGGCAGCAGAAGAGGAGGTCACAAAAGACATTCTCAGGACGCAGAAGATCTGGGGAGGATAAAAGGGCTGAGAAAACTCATCCATGACCAGCCCCGTGACCGTGAAGCCAACCATGGCATCCGCAACGGCGAGATTGAGGACAAAATAGAGCCCCTTGGAGCCGCTCTTCTGGATGAGGCAGAGGAGAGCGATGACCACCAGTGCATTGGCAGTGATGATGAGCGAGGCCAGCACAGCGAGGATGGCTCCGAGGGCTGAGCCAGCCATGGCTGTCCCCATGGGGCACAGCCCCAGGACAGCGTGTCCCCAGGACGGCGTGTCCCCAGCACGGTTCTAGGGCATCCCTCACCGTGGACTTTCAAGAGCAGCTCCTCACTCCGGCCGTGCTGCAGCAGCCAGTGGTGTCTCTGGGCTGGAGCGGAGCCCTGCTGAGCCCCTGCCTGCGGAAGGGACTGGAGCACTCCCAGCACCTGCTGCGCCCACAGAAGTCCCTCCCTCCAGTCACGTTTCCAGACAACCCTGGAGCAGGAGGTGAGCTGTGAGCACCTGGGCAGGAAGCTGCCACGATGGCACAGGGGGTGGTGCCTGTGCCCCCGCCAAGCACCAAGGACCCGAGCAGAGATGGTGCTGGCATCAGGGAAGAAGCAGAGGGATGTCCCAGCACCCAGCCCCACTGGTCCACATGGGTCACACAGCTCGTGGGGTCCCTGCCAGAGCCAGGGCAGCCTCTTCCTGCAGGGACGAAGGGAACACCACTGATCCCCTGGCGCAGAAGCCATAAAGGTGATGTGGTTGTAGAGGGGAAAAGAACTGACAAGAGATGTCAGCTAAAGCACACGTAAAGTTGTCCATGAGCCTGGGAACACGACATGTCTTCAGCAGGTGCAGCTGCGACACTACAGTGCCTTTGGTAAGCCCAGAACAAAGAACCTGCCATAACCTGCAGGGCAGGAACCTGCCATAACCTTCAAAGGGGCCTCCTAACAAGCAGAAGTCAGGAGCTGGTGTCCTCTGCCCCCTTATGGATCCATGTAAATGTAACTGGCTTCCCACCCAAACCAAGTACCCCTCTCCCCAAGTACGTGAACTTCTCCATACCATCCTTCAGACCCTCTGGGGATGCTTGGGGTGACTCCAGCCTCTGGAACACGGATAATCTCCAGAGAGAGACTTCACCCATCATTGAGCCCACCCCAAGAGCACCATAATAATACAACACTTTGGAATGGAATGCACACTTGCTACTAACAGTACAAAAAGAAAATATATTCTGTTTCATGGTTTGAGTTGGGAGGGACTTTAAAGATCATCTAATTCTAACCCCCTGCACGGGCAGGGACACCTCACACACTTTAACAAGTGTATTTACCTTATAGTAACTTGTAACAAAGAGATCCATGGAAATAAAGCTTCTGTGTCCTTGTGTATTAGAGTCCTATGAACCCAGTGCACATCCCTCACATTCCCACAGAGTGGGTGACCCACACAGGCCAGGACTGCGACTGCTCCATCCCCTTAAACCAAGTGCAAGAAGTCACTTCTGTCTCATGAGCTGGAAAAACCTGGAGCTGCCAGGAAACGGGCAGGTTCAAACCTTCCTGTCAAACAGTAACCAGAGGCTGGGGAGAGGCTGGGATCAAGGCACAGGGCAGGACCTGGCACTGCGATGGGGAGATGCTGCAGAAACATGAACTGTGGCCGCTGTGGGTGGAGCTGCAGAGCAGGGAACACTCTGGGTCTGCTCTGCAGGTGAGCACGGGAAGGGCTTCAGTGGCCTCACACCCCTAAACCTCCTCTTGTATTTGCCCAGGGAGACATCAGGGATGAGTCCAGAGGAGGCCATGGGGATGCTGTGAGGACTGGAGCAGCTCTGCTCTGGAGCCAGGCTGAGAGAATTCGGCTGGGTCAGCCTGGAGAAGGCTCCTTAAGGGGAGACCTGAGAGCAGCTCCAGTGCCTAAAGGGGCTGCAGGAAACCTGGAGCGGGGCTTTGGACAAGGGCCTGTAGGGACAGGCCAAGGGGAATGGCTTCAACCTGCCAGAGGGTGAGATGGGGTGAGCTCTCAGGCAGAAGCTCTTCCCTGTGAGGGTGCTGAGGCGCTGGCACAGGGTGCCCAGAGAAGCTGTGGCTGCCCCATCCCTGGCAGTGTTCAAGGCCAGGGGCTTGGAGCAAGCTGCTCTAGTGGAAGGGGTCCCTGCCCATGGCAGGGGGCCAGGACTGGATGACCTTCAACCCAAACCCCAGTCTGGAAATCTGTGACTACAATGTCCTGAGGCAAAGAACCTCCTTAGAAAATGCTGGACCTCAACAGTTCTGACCCTCGGAGCAAGGTTCCCAGCCATGCAGGGGCTGGGATGTTGGTTTTCAGCAGCACACTGAGCTACCAATGGAGAATCCTTGGGAGGACCCAGCTTTTCCTTCCTGCTGGCAGCCAAGGTGGGATGCTTTGGGGATGAAGGGCTTTCTGACCACCTTCCAGGAGCACCTGGCAAAGGGCCGAGGTGCGCCCACACCCACAGAGATCACCACCACCACCACACCTTTACCTCTGTTACTATTGACAGAGTGAGGCAGAGGGACGTGGGGCAGCATTTACGACAGCCAGCACTATCACAGCTCTGATAAGGGGCCATCTCCAGGGGCTGCGACCACTCGGGCAAGGCAGAAGGAAATCTCCAAAGCCATCCTGAGGAGCTGATCCAATGGGAGGAAGAAGAGGGGAAGGAGGAGCCTCTCACCAGCACCCTGCAGTTGAAAAATGCAAACAGCAAAGTGGCCATGGGGACGCACTTGAGGTTGCTATGAGAAGCCTCTGAGCAATGCCTGAAAAACATGCCCAGGACAGCAACTACACCTGCTAAAGATCTGCTGGAGGATCGGTCCAACAATCAACAGCAACATCCCATGGGAATGATGCACAGAAGAAATGGCCCCAGGACTGAAGGTATAGGAACAGAAAAGAACACCCAAAGAATGTCATGAACTGCAGGTAAAATCCATCTCTAAATAGACTTGTATTCATCCACCACATCAGTACTGATTTACTTTGTTAGGTTTAGAAACCCTCTCCATGAGGGAGGCCAGGCGAGGTGTATGTACCTTGTCCACTCCGAATCCACTGCTCCCCATTTTTGACAGCTTGCAAGTGCAGTTTAACTGTGAGGAGAGTCCTCACAGCCTGCTGAGCCACAGCCCTGGGGTACCGCCTCTGCTCAGGGCATGACCCAAGTTCAGGAGCTTCTTGGAGTGCCCTTCCTCATGCACGTGCTGGCACAAGGCAGCGACACCTTCACAGCACAGTTCTCATTGTCCGGGCTGGCTTTGTCTGAGCATCCCTTGTGCAGTTTGCATGGAGGAAATTCACCACGGACCTTCATCCAAACTGAAGCCACCCCACAACGAGGACAGGGAGTAGGACCACAAGAGCTGTTGGCTTTCACAACCATACACATTAAGAGACCAAAATATCTTGCCTGATGTTCTGCTCAGCCCTAGCAACATTAGAGCCACCATCTTAAAGTAGTGGGATGTCTGAATTCAGCTTGAAATCACATTTAACCTGCTTTAAAAATGATAAAAGCAAACCCAAGGTAAGCAGTAAGAGACTGAGGTTCTGCAACTTGGTTTCATCACTAACAATTGGTTCAGAAACATTTCTATTGTAATGAACCCTCGATTGCTTTTACATACATCAATTTGGAGAAGAAAGATCCATGGAGTGTGCTGAACATTAGCAATAGCTGCTGCTCCCTCCTGGGGCGGCCGGAGCAGGCGCCCTGGGTCCCTGCAGCAAACCCACCCAAATACAGGCTCAGCCACCAGTCAATAAATAATTTAATGAGGTTCCAGGTAGGACACACGCCAGCACCCACCCAGCCCAGTCTCCACCACGGCCGAGCAGCACACAGGAGCCAAACCACCCCCCACGGCAGCACCCAAAGGCCACGGGAGCACCCAGATCTTCACAGAAGATACCGCTCAAGCCCGCTCAGACACCCTTAACGCTTGCCCTGACACAAAGACTCACACAGCACCCGCCTCCAGCCTCCCAGGTACTCCTCAGCCAGAGCATGCTCCAGGGACCGTGCACTTGGGGAGGTGAGGGCCCAGACCCACAATTACCAACACAGCAAGACACGGGATGGTGAGATGAAGGAAGGCTACAGCGAAGCTCTGCTGCACGTCCTGGAGAGGACTCAGGGGGCTGAAGCCAGCTGTCAGAATGGAAGCCGCTTCAGCTGCTCGTATGTGATAAAAAACTGAAGGGAATGTCAAGGAATTCAGCCAGATGCACAAGAGCAGCCCCAGAGCCTCCTGGCATGACCAGGCTGACGGCAGAGCATCAGCACAGTGTGGGGAGGCCTCTTCCAGACACCATCAACTCATCTGCAGACGTGGGAGAGAGCTGAGGAATAGGAGCTACTGGGAGAGAGAAAACCGACCCAGAAGCAAAGCGGGCCAGGCTTGCCCAGACCATGGAGAAAGGGAGGGGGCTCTAGCCCCAGACTTCTTTAAATTACACACACAATTTCAGAGGCCAAGAGGAGCTCGTGCTGGTTCTGCAGCACGGCAGCACCCGTCTGGGAGCAGCAGAACATTCCCAAGCTTTCCTCATGAACAGAAGCTGATCCAGCAGCCACAGCATCTTCAGGAGCTCAGGCAAAGGGAGTCTCGAGCCACACACTCATGAGCACCCAGTCCAGAGGGAACACCGTGCTGCTGCCCTCAAGTCCCTGCACTCGCCACAGCATCTGCAGTCACACCAGGGGCACTCTGGCACTTGAAGCAGCAGCAGCCACATCACAGCTTACGTCTGTCAAAGGGGACACCCTGGGCTGCTACAAGGAAGACAACAGTGCCCCATTGGGGTGTTCACTCTACATTCCCCTTGAGAACTCAGTTCTCCCCTCCCTGTCCACACAACCCCTCAGCAGCACGCTGAAGGATACAATGATGTTCCAGGGACCAAGCCGAAGCCAGTTGGGCCAGAAACCTTTGTAGAGTGCAAAGAAGCCCTCGCTCTTCCATGTCTAGGAGGAGAAAAGAGATGAGTTAGGAGACACACCAGATCCATGCTCTGCCCATCTCCCTAATGCCACGTGGCATACAATGGACCCTTACAAATGCTGCAGTAAGCAGACAACAGTGGGGATGCTGTTGTGTTAGCTATGAACCTAACCAAACCGCATCACTGACAGAGTTCTGTCCCAGGAGGTTGGGAGGAGGCTCAAGTGACCTCAGGGAGGTGACTCTGGGCCTGGGTTGTCCAAAGCGCTCACTACCGAGCACATCCTGTCCCTGCCAAATCTAACTGCTCCCACCAGCGTGGGTGGCACTGGGAGCTGCCCAGGCTCCTGAGGACAGGATCTGCCCACCTCGTGCACCTCCGTACCTTCACCAGCCCATCCAGGGTGCCCTTATAGAGCTCTGTGTTGCCCACGATCGCCCGCTGGTTCATCATCCGTGTCCGCACCACGTCCACGGGGTTGGAGGCGATGGCGCCAGCCAGCCCACAGGTGAAACTGGAACTGCACACACAGCAAAACAGAGACAGGAACAGCTCTGAGCACACTGCTCCTGCTCACGCAGGACAGCAGCACAAGAGAACACCTTTCACTGCATTTTATGACAGGCACTTTGCAATAGACATTAGCTGCACTGCCTGTTCCCACCCAGGAAGCAAGCAGAGAACTTCAGGAGCCCAGAGAGACACTCCAGGAGAAGGGAAATGCTCAGCTTTGTCTTACGTAGACCCTTGTCAGGGCCCATTGCTGGTCTCCAGAGGGTACACTGCAGGCCAGCAAGTGCCTCCAGGTGCCATCAAAGCAACACAGACCTGAAGGCGGCCTCTCAGAAGCGCACATCCTGCTCACCACAGCAAACACTTCTTCAGGGTGGGGAAGGAGGGAGGAAGGCCAAAGGCAGCAGCAAGAGGGAGCATGCAGCTGCAAGTCCCCTCCCTCTACATATGGTGCAGTGCTCGTTACCTTCAGCCCACAGGAGGCAAACCTGACAGGAGCACTGCAGCACCTCAAGTGTCTGCCAGAAGAACATGAAAATGTAGGTGGAAAAAAGCCTCTGGGAGGTCTCTAACCCATCCCCTGCTCAGAGCACGCTGACTTCAAACATGGCTCAAGCTCAGGGCCTCATAAGCTTTGCAAGTCTCTCTTTACCTTGTTGCTTTTAGAGCAACGCCTGCAAGCTGACAGCCCTGGCTCAGGCGAGGACCTCAGGCTAGAGCAGTTGTTTCAGGTGACTGCTACACAGTCACACATCTGCAGCTCCTGCCTTGCTCATACCAGGGCACGCACATGGAGCAACAGCGTTTGTGGCTGACATCAGTGAGCTGACATCATCCTGACATTCCATGATTTCTGCCTGGCTCCTTCTCCAGGGAGATCTCCCTGGGAATACCTGCTGATACTCACTGAACTGCTCCAGCCAACACAGCCGATCCCTCTGAATTACCAAGCCTGCTCTCTGCAGCTCAGAGCACTGGCTCTGGGAACAGGTCTCAGCCCTAATCCCACCTTGCCCCTCAGCTTCCCATACCCCTGTCAAGCCTGAAGAGTGAAGCAGGAAATACTCACACGAAGTGGGCAAAGATGGTGTCACCCATCAGCCCCGACAGGATTAAGTGCTTCTTGGTGATGTCGTAGACCGGCAGCTCCACGCCGACCACAATGGCAGCTCTCTGAGCTGTTGGGACAACACCCTACAGAGCACAAGCACCAGTCACAGACAGAGCTGGGGGCTGCAGCTACTCTAACAAATCCCCCTCCTTCCTCTCAGGGGCCTCTTGCTGACAATCTGCTCCATATCTCCCTGCCCTGCCTCGCAGCTGGAGCTCTGAGGTCAAGCTCACCGTCTCCCAGCTTTACTCCAGAGCTCAAGGGGACTCCTTGCCCCTGGCAGCGTTACTCCAGGCAGATGAACTACTCGCTGCTCCCCTCCTCCCAGCCATGAGCATGCAGGAATCGGGCTAAAATCCACTCATCTTTCCCCACCGAACAGCACCCACCCATTTTAACACCAGAAATCCTGCACCCCAAGAGGAGCAACTCTAAGGAGGCAGGTGGGGCTCCAGCTCCCCCTTGCTACAGAACAGCTTTGTGAAAGCTTCTGACTTCGATTTTCACGTATGAAGAGTTGCTGCCAGCAGGACATTGATCTGGAATTGGCAAGACAATTACTGCAACAACTACAAGGCTTAGGCAAGAGGAACCAGCCACCCTCTATCTGAGAGCCAGCCCAGCAACCCCTCACCAGGAACGAGATGTGCAAATGTCTATGAGCTTGCAGAACATGGAGAACATGGCACCAGTGTGGACTTGGGCCATTTCAAAGGGACTAATGCCATCCAAGTAATCCAGAGACCCATGAGAAAGCTCCTGGTCACTGGGACTGGAGGAACCCTCCCATGTGGTTGAGCTGTGTATGAGCCATCGGGACAGGCAGCTTTCTCACCAAACAAACCCAAAGCTGCTGCAAGAAGTAAAAGTACTTCTCAGGTGTCTGGCTCCTGCTGCGCTAATGCAATGCCTGACAGTCTCCTCCTGGGCTCCTGCCTAACCCAGGCCAGCTCAAAACTCCCCAGATGGTGATGCCAGAGCTGGTGAGCACAAACATCTCTGCCTCAGCGTGAGGGGAAACTGGAGAGAGGAGACAGTGGCTGTCCCACACCAGAGAGCAGCATGACTAGCTTGATCACTGGAATCCACCTCAAGACTGATCTGTCTCTGCACCATGTCCTGTCTGCAGCAAACATCAGCAACACTGAGGGTCTCATATCTTTTCTAGTCTCTCTTCCCATCTCCAGTGTCTGTGTCTAGAGAGAGAAATAATCTCTAAATACTGAGTCAACACTGGCAGTTGACTGATTCCTCCTCCCCTTCCCACACAGGTACCTTCTGTAAAGGACTTCAGGGACCGTAAGAGGGAGAAATTTGACTGCTGCCTGTACCTGAAACTTCACAGACACATTTCAGCCCTGGAAACCAGGTCTGCCTGGCCCAGCACTGAGGCTGCTGTGACACAGGCCCCATCCCCACCACAGCTGTGCTTCTGCTTGTAACTCTACTACTCCCCTTGGTTCATAGTTCTCCTTGACAGCTGCACCCAAGAGTAGTGAGCTGCTAGTTCTGCTACTAGTGGAGGGGGCTCCACAGCCAACGCTCACCCTCCAGAGGCCTCGGGTACCCTCCTGCTGGTAGATGTCAATGAAGCTGCCAATCATGCCCCCCTGGAATAAACTGCCTTGAGCCTGCATTCGGATCTGAAAGAAACATGAGATACACAAGCTCAGTGATGGGAAGAACAGCTTGGAGGAGACACCACTCCCCGCATGGGGACAGCAACAGCCTCCACCTCATCACCATTCTTAAGTCTGTTTATTGCTTCTGCCCCCATCAATAAGGCCCCAGATGAGCAGAACTGCTGCCAGAAGACAGCTCCTCCCTGCACCGGAGAGCAGCACCTTCCACATGTCAAACCTCAGCCCAGCAGGAGCTCTCTCCAGACATGTTCCTACCTTTAGCACATCTGTCGGGTTGGCAAGCGCAGAGGAGATCACCCCTGAAACCACCCCACAGATGACATTGATCAGCAACGTTTCATCTGCAACAAAGAAGAGAAATCCTAAAGAGCGGAAGGGAAGGTGCATGGATTGCATTGAGCAAGCAAGAAACTGGGAACAGCAGAGGAGCTCAGCTCACAAATCACACGGTGAAGGTGCACGAGCAGAGGCTGGCCAGTGCCATCAGCTCACAGCAGATCTGTCCCCACGCCTGGCAGAGTTGGAAAGAGCAGCTGGAACACTCAGTGACACGCTCAGGGAGAAGCAGGTCTCACTGGTGGATCCAGCTCATCAGACAGTCTGAGGGACATGGACATTTTGGACAATTAACTGAGATTTCAGTGTCCAGCAATGGCATCATGATGGATTCAAGCCAAGGCAGAGGGAGACAGAAAGGGGCAGCCTAATGCTTCTCAAGGCAACCTGATGCCGATTGGTTTGATCTGGAGCCCTAGTTGGCCACGCTCAGACTATGCAGCCACCTCAAGAGAGCCGAGAGCAGGCACCCAGGCAGAGAGTTAGATGTGATTAGTTCCAGGGGGAATAATCCAAGACTTCCAGGCCCAGTATTAGGGTGTTGGTTATGTTGAGAAAAGGCACAACCCTTTGCTGGTACTGACCACTGCAATTCCCAGAGGAGGCCAGGCCACTGTCTGCCCCAGGCCTGCAGGGAGACAAACATTCAGAGAAGGGTACTCACAGGTGGAGCCGCTGCCACAGGCAGCGAGGAGGCGCATGGTGCTGCACAGGCACAGCACCACGCACCGGGGAGGCAGCACTGCAGAGCAGAGCAGCCCTGGAAAGAGGCTCCCACGTGCTCCTGGTCCTCACGGTGCTGCCGACCGGCCCGGGCACCCCTTCCTGGGCTGGAATGGTGTGACAGGGGAATTACAGAGCAGTCAGTCTCACCTCTGCACCTGGCAAAATCTTGGGGCAGATTCTCCTGGCAGGCATGCTAAGGCACATGAAAATCAACAAGGTGCTTGGTGACAGCCAGCATGGCTTCACTAAGGGGAAATCCTGCCTGACCAATTTGGTGGCCTTCTATGATGGGGCTACAGAACTGATGGACAGAGGTGGAGCAGTTGATGGCATCTACCTGGACTTGTGCAAAGCACTCAACACTGTCCCACACGACATCCTTGTCTCTAAATTGGAGAGACATCAATTTGATGGATGGACCACTGGGTGGATAAAGAACTGGCTGGATGGCTGCACACAAAGAGTTATGGTCAATGGCTCAATGTCCGGCTGGAGACCAGTAACGAGTGGGGTCCCTCAGGGATCGGTGTCGGGACCGGTCTTGTTCAACATCTTTGTCGCTGCCATGGACAGTGGGATTGAGTGCGCCCTCAGCAAGTTTGCCGATGACACCGAGCTGTGTGGTTCGGTTGATATGCTGGAGGGAAGGAATGGCATCCAGAGGGACCTCGACACGCTTGTGAGGTGGGCTAATGCCGACCTCATGGAGTTTAACCATGACAAGTGCAGAGTCCTGCACCTGGGTCGGAGCAATCCCAGGCACAGCTACAGGTTGGGCAGAGAAGAGATTCAGAGCAGCCCAAGGAGAAGGACTTGGGGGTGTTGGTGGATGAGAAAATGAACATGAGCCGGCTTCAGTGTGCGCTTGCAGCCCAGAAACCAACCGTATCCTGGGCTGCATCAAAAGGAGCGTGACCAGCAGGTCGAAGGAGGTGATCCTGCCCCTCTGCTCTGCTCTTGTGAGACCTCACCTGGAGCATTGTGTGCAGCTCTGGTGCCCTCAACATAAAAAGGACATGGAACTGTTGGAACAAGTCCAGAGGAGGCCACAAGGATGATCAGGGGACTGGAGCACCTCCCGTACGAAAATAGCCTGAGCACGTTGGGGCTGTTCAGCCTGGAGAAGAGAAGGCAGCATGGAGACCTCATAGCAGCCTTCCAGTACCTGAAGGGGTGCTACAGGGATGCTGGGGATGGGACTATTCATTAGGGACTATAGTGACAGGACAAGGAGTAATGGGTTAAAACAGGGGAAGTTTAGATTGGATATAAGGAAGAAATTCTTTACTGTCAGGGTGGTGAGGCACTGGAATGGGCTGCCCAGGGAAGCTGGGAATGCTCCATCCCTGGTGGTGTTCAAGGCCAGGTTGGACAGAGCCTTGGGTGCCATGGTTTAGTGGGAGGTGCTCCTGCCCATGGCAGGGGCGTTGGAACTGGATGATCTTAAGGTGCTTTCCAACCCTAACTATTCGACGATGCTATGACGGGATTCACCCGTGTCACACCAGGGATTAAAAGTGCACATGCACATCGTGGTGCTCCTTCAGTGAACATGTACCAGGCTCCCGCTGCTCTGCTCTTGATGGGAGCCAACTCCCCATTCCCAGAGGTGCACAGGTCAGGAGCATTGGCTGTATCCCAGCTGGAGCCATGGCTACAGAGCCGGACAGTACAACTATCTGGATGCGCCACATTCAAGCACACGGGCTCACGGGCTCCAGCAGGAAAATTGCAGGGACTCGCTGCTGGAGCTTTCAACCCACGTAACAACTGATGTACAGATGGCTGTATGCCTTCACCGAGACTAAACCTAAAAGATGAGCCTGGGGCCACAATACCTTTGGGTTTGGCTCTGCAAAGCAGAAATAAAGGCTGGGGAAAGAAAAGAGCTGGGAGGGTGGGGGGAGCAGGGAGGGGGCTGGCTGGGGCTGTGGGCAGCACCAAGCACACCCAGATTCCCGCCTGTGTGGAAGCCCATCCTGGCTATTACCCCACAAACAGAACCAAGCAGGTTCTGGCTATTACCCCACAAACAGAACCACAGCACAGAGTAACAACACAGTAGCAATAACTCTGTTCCTGTGGGAATCATAGCTAGGAAGGACAGAGAAAGGAATGAGGAAAACTGGACTGCACAGAGAGTACAAGACCTCGCAGGGCACCTTGGTGAGGCTGAAGGTGCCACGCTCACCCACACGAACCTTCCATGCGATCCACAAAGAGCCGCTTCAAGCTCTGGTAGATGCCGATCTTTATGGTGCCGTAGGATGCCTGTCTTAGCAGGGCAGGGGCGATCCTGGGGGGACAGACAACACACTGGGTTGGTTCTCCCTGCGGGCCCAGCATGGAGCACTCCCCATCACCACCAAGGGGCACAGCCTAGACCACACACACCCCACCTCCCCCAGCAGCGCAGCAGAACAGGAAGCACAGGGTAACAACCCTGGGAGCCTGTAATAACCCCAGGAACACAGGGTAACTCTGGCTGACCTGGAAGCGTCTCAGATGCCCCCATACCTACAGCACGGGAGCCCAGCACCCACGGGAGCCTTGGCCTTGGCACACAATTCCCTGCTCTGTATCTCGGGAAGACCGGGAGTCTCCAGGAGGCACAGCAGCACCGCTGCCTGGCCCCGGGACGGGCAGGGGGGGCCCAAACCGGGATGAAAACGGATTCCCGAAGCGGGACGGGGGGGCCGGGACAGGCAGAACAGGCACAGGGTTGGGGCGGGCCGGACCCGGGCCGGGCGGGATTCCTGGGTCCGGAAGGACGTTCCCCGGGCGGGTGAGGGCTTCCCGGTCCGGTGGCTCCCGTCCCCCGGCGCTTACCCTGAGTAGAGAGCGCGGCCGCCCTCCTCCCGGCAGATGCGGAAGAGGGCGTGGAACATGCCCCGGTACCGGACCTCGCGGAACCGCGCATCGGCGCTCTGGCCCTGCACCTGCAGGCGCGTCTTGGTGAGGTCCACAGGGAACGTGCCTGCGGGGACAGCGCCTGTCAGCGGCCGCGGCCCGCCCGCCCGCTCCGGCCCTCCCCGGCCCGGCCCCCGCCTCACCGAACTCGGCCACGATAGAGGCGAGCCCGCCGTACACGAAGGGTTTCCAGCTCAGCGCGGACATGGCATGGCGGAGAGCGGCGGCGCGGGCGGAGCCCGGAACCACCGGATCCGGAAGCGCGGGCTGCGCTAAGCTCCATCCGCCCCGCTCCCCCGGCGGGCGGAGCGGGTATTTCTGGGACTAACGAAGTGCGGCAGCAGCCCCCTCGCTCGGAAGCGAGGCTGAGAGAGCTGGGCTGGGTCAGTCTGGAGAAGAGAAGGCTCCTGAAGGGGAGACCTTAGAGCAGCTCCAGTGCCTGAAGGGGCTGCAGGAAAGCTGGAGGGGGACTTGGGACACGGGATGTAGGGACAGGCCAAGGGGAATGGCTTTAACCTGCCAGAGGGGAGACTGAGATGAGCTCTTAGGCAGAAGCTCTTCCCTGTGAGGGTGCTGAGGCGCTGGCACAGGGTGCCCAGAGAAGCTGTGGCTGCCCCATTCCTGGCAGTGTTCAAGGCCAGGTTGGACACGGGCTTGGAGCAAGCTGCTCTAGTGGAAGGGGTGCCTGCCCGTGGCAGAGGGGTGGAACTGGAGGAGCTTTAAGGTCCCTTTAACCCAAACCACGCTATGATTTTATGAACGTCCCCCCATCACTGCACACCGTGTCAGCATCTCCCAGCCATGACACCAGGAAACAAATGCTGCTCCAAGGTGACCGCTGAGTTAACAGGTAACGTTTTAATAAAAGTCATTTAAACCAAAATGCAAACCAACAGTAAACAGCTCCACTGCAGCAGTGCAGCCCTGGGGATGCAGCACAGGATCCAGGCATGGTGCTGGACAGTGCTGGACCCAGTCCCGGCATATGAGGCCAACAAGGTACCAGCCTGTCTCTCCCAACAGTGCACAAGGGGGACACCTCTATAGACCCAGGTATTTTGGGAATGGGATGCTGCTGCTGCTCCCAGGGACCACCTCCACAATGCAGTGCAGCATCCTGATGAGAGTCCATGGCTGCAGGAAGGGCCAGAGACAGCAACTAAGGAATGTCCTGGTCCACACCACAGTGGTGAGGAGAGCCCTGGCCCAGGAGGGAACAAGAACCCAAGTGGAAGCGGTTGGAGGTCCCTGGGGAGGCTCCAAGCAGGTTCTGGGGTGTCAGCAGCGGCTGGAACCCCTGGTGGAGCTGCGCTCCCGGTGCCAGAGCTCCCGGGGGCTGTGCTCCCGGGCCCGGCCACCCTCAGGACATTCTCCCCGGCGGCTACCGAAACACTCACCCCTCCTGCCAGCCTCCTCCCGCCTGCCTTCCCACAACCCGCCTTGGCCCCGCTGCTCCTGGCAGCTCCTCTCCCCTCTCCTCTCCAGGGGCCTCTGGTGCCTCCGCTCGTCCTCTTCCCGCTGTGTCCTGCTTGCAGGCTTCCTCTCGGAGCCCCTCCAGGGCTGCTGGCTCCCGCTGGCGTAGCGCTCGTAGGCTGGGTCCTCCTTCTCCTTCTTAATCTTGATCCTGGGATGTGCCTCCTCCACGGACGGCGCTCTCTTCCCAGGCTGGGAGCTCGCCTGCGGCCACTCCTCTCTGCTCTCTGCAATACACGGTTTGTGTCTGGGATGGACAGTCCCACAGGCACCACTCTGACTCTCCAGCTCCCTCCCATTTAAGCTCTCCCCCTCCAAGCTACGCAGCCTTCATCCCCCTTAGTGATCCCATTCCACTTCCAACCTTGATGCTTCTCTCCTCCAGCCTCAGCCATCCTAATTCCTTCTTTAGTGCTCACCAGGTTGTGTCCTTGCTGTAATCACAGGTGCATGCTGCCCAGCAGTCACTAGCAAGCCACATTAAGCAGCTCCTACAAGTCCCTGCTTCTGGCACCCCGCTTGCTCCAGCTAGGGTAACTTTTCCAAGATCTCTGTTGCATGGATGAAAAATAAACCCAACAGCTGCTAAAAATGCATCACTGCAGCTGCATGGGCTGGTCCTTTACATTCGTTCAAGTCACTGTGGAGGTACTCTATATTTCACAAAACCTGCTGCAGCCCCTAAGAACAGGAGGTATTCAGGCGCTCGGTTGGGTTTACCTTGTGCTGCATTTTTAGGTGCACTTGGGGCTAGAAAGAACCTTTGAAGTCCACCCAGTCCACACTCCACCCGCCGCCTTTGACTTCAGCTTCCAGCCACAGAAGCTTCTCCAGATCTGCTGCTTTATGTTCTGTTCAATTAGGTTGTCTCACACAGGCCACAATGGCCATCCCATCCACCTGCAGCACTCCACTCATACAGCAGCAGCATTCAGATGTGAAGTGGTGCTCTTCCTAAGCCTTCCCTCTCCATGCTTCCCAAAACACAGCCCCCCCCTCCTCTTTTCAAGAGTCCACCCACCCTCGGTGCTTCCCTGAGGAAAGGGCCCTCTCAAGGCCAAGGGCTCTGTGCAGAGGCTCCCACTGGGGGTCAGGGCTGCAGGAGCACACCTCACCTTTTGGCTTTTTTACAGGCACACCATCATCTTCTGACAGGGAATCAGAGGACGTATGAGGTGGGGTTTTAACTCCACAACCCTTTGCATGGAGGTTTTTTGTAACATCATCCAAGTCATCAGAGTCCTGGGGAGGCCGATAGTTGGCCACATGGTCCACTCGAATTGTCCTTCCTTTGATCTACGAGGGGAGTCCTGCTGTTAGCGAGGGCACAGCCCAGCTCCCCACATGCTGTGGGTGGCGAGGGCTCCTGGCTGATGTGAGGCAGCATTACAGGAGCCACACGAGGGTGACACACAGACAGACCTGCTTCCCAGGCTGCTCCCTCACCTTGATCCCATTGAAGTTATCAACAGCGAGGATGGTGCTCCTCTGGTCCTCATAGCACAGAAAGCAGAAGCCTTTGGACTTTCCGGTCTTCTTATCCCTCACCAGGTTGATGTTGACGACCTCCCCGTACCTGCAACACACTCCTGAGCACCCGAGGCAGCGGCAGGGGCGTGGCGGGCCTGGGGGCTGCGCACTTACTGCGAGAACACGCAGATGACATCGCCCTCTGTCAGCTCGTAGTGCAGCCCGCCTGCGGGGAAAGAGGCAGGGAGGAACGGGACACGGGCACTGCGTAGGCCCTGGCCCGGACCCTGACCCGGACCCCCCAGCCCCAGCCCTCCTCGGCCGTACCGATGAAGATCCAGGCGCTGTCCTTGTACTCCGCGTGCCACGAGACCGCCTCCTGCACGCCCAGCTCCGCCTCCCTCGCGTTTAGCTCGTTGATCAGCTTCACCTTCGTCAGGGGGCTGAAGGCGGGGGGCACATTCAGCTCGGGGACGGGGACGGGGACGGGGACCAGGCCGCGCACCTTCTCCCCCCTTCCCTCCTCCGCGCCCCGCACACCTACTTCATGGCGGCGCCGCCGCACACTGCGCATGCGCGCAGCCGAGCCGGAGCCGAGCGCAGCCGAGCGTAGCCGAGCCCGAGCGCTGCCGAGCCGCGCAAAGCAAGACCCAGAGTTGCCTGGAGCCGCAGAGACTTTATTGGGATGAACGCGGCCGGGGCCGTGCCGCCGGTCCCGCTCAGCACGGGCAGGTTTTACTGCTGGTGGTGTGCGCTGGCTCCAGCCTGCGGGCCTGGCCCGACCAGCCCTCCAGGTCCCGGCAGGGCGGCGAGCGCTGCGCCTTCAGCCGGCAGGCCAGGCACATGAAGATCGCATCCACGTTCTGGCTCTCCTTAGGGTCCTTGGCCGAGGTCTCAAACAAAAGCATATTGTGAGCGTCGGCGAATTTGAGGGCCATGCTGGATGGCACTTGGATCAGGTCTTTCAAGTCACACTTGTTGCCAACGAGCACCCTAGGGACAGTGGGGGACACCGCATGCCCATTGCACTCCTCAATCCATGTCTTGAGGTTGGTGAAGGACGACATCTTTGTGACATCATAAACAAAGACGACAGCATGCACATTGCGGTAGTAGTGCTCCACCATGCTCTTCCGAAACCTCTCCTGGCCAGCTGTGTCCCACACTTGCACCTGGGAAGCAAAGCAGGAGAGAAGGAAGGCTGCGGGAGCGCTGCGTGTCGCCCTGAGGCAGGCTGCTCACCAAGCTCCCTGCAGGAAGATGTGGGATTGCTTCCCACAGGCCCTTCCAACCACAGCACCTCAGCCTGAGGAAGCGCAGGCAGTGAGCCTTGCAGGGAGAGGCAGTTTACCACATGAACCAGGATCAGTGGATGAGTTACACAAGCTTTTGTCCTACACTGACAGTGCCCAAGGCTGTATGTGACAGGGAACATGCTTATGTAATTCCACCAAGCAAGCACAGCTCATCTAGTAAGAGAGAGATCCCTCAGCACTTGCATTTACAAGGCCCTATAGGGACAGGCCAAGGGGAATGGCTTTAACCTGCCAGAGGGGAGACTGAGATGAACTCTTAGGCAGAAGCTCTTCCCTGTGAGGGTGCTGAGGCGCTGGCACAGGGTGCCCAGAGAAGCTGTGGCTGCCCCATCCCTGGCAGTGTTCAAGGCCAGGTTGGACACGGGCTTGGAACAAGCTGCTCTAGTGGAAGGTGCCCCTGCCTGTGACAGGGGTTGGAACTGGAGGAGCTTTAAGGTCCCTTTAGCCCAAACCAGTCTGGGATTCTATGATTCAGGAAGCAGTGCTCCCTGCTTCTCAGCCTTTTCCCAGTACACTTGGCCAACCATCCCCACCACAGAAAAATTGCACAAAATACTTCTCACAAACATTCTTGAGCCAAATCAGGACATTCTTCCACCTAACCCTATGCCATTAAAGAGAACCCCAACAATTACACAGAGGTCTGTATAGAAGAGTTAGGGCAAAGATGATGGGGAATCACCTTTTGTGTGAGACCAGCAGGAGGGCACGGAGCTCTGCATGGCTAAGAGGAGAGACAGTCATGCTGCTGTCTAAAGGGACCTCAAAAGCCTGGAGAAATGCACTAACAGCACCCTCATGAAGTTCAACAGAGAACTGCCAACTCCTGTCCTGGGGAAGAACAACTCCATGCCCCAGGACATGCTGGGGAGCACCCAGCTTGGAAGTGGCTTTGCAAGACAGGACTTGGGGGTCCTGATGGACACCAGGTTGGAGGTGAACCAGCAGTGTGACCTAGCAATGAAGGCAGTGAGTAGTACCCTTGGCTGAACTACACAGTATCACCAGAAGGTAAAGGATGCACTTCCAGGTTGGATGGAGCTTGGAGCAGTGTGGTCTAGTGGAAGGTGTCCCTGCTCGTGGCTGGAGCTGGATGAGCTTTAAAGTCCCTGCCAACCAAATCAGGCTGGGAATCCATGAATTCAGCCTATTCTAATGCTGCTGAGATGACACCCTCCCCGTGCTCGCCAAGAGCCACCTGCAGCATTAATACCGCAGCTGCGGAGCCCACTGTCTCCTGGCCTGGCAGTCCACAGCCATCTGCTCCTGAAACCACACTGGTTTCTGCACAGCTCATCCTCGGCTCCACCTCTCCCATGGCACAAGAACTCTCAGGGCACTCTGGGGCCGGAGGGCAAGACGGCCGCGGTGCACCCTGAGCCATCTTGAGCTGCCAGCTCAAGCAAACGCCATAGGCAGTGACAAGGCAACAGAGATGGGCTCGGAAAGCATCTCTGCAGCACGGGGAGGAGAAACCATCCCTGCTCCACTCCTCAGAGCTTGGCTGGGGATGGGAAAGCCCCCAGGAGGTGTTCAGCACCTGGGGCAGGGCCCAGGACAGGGGATGGGACAAGCGATGGGGCAGGGGATGGGGTAGGGACTGGCCGGCGCTGCCGTGCCCACCTTGATGCGCTCCCCCTCGATCTCCACCGTCTTCTCGCGGAAGTCCACACCGATGGTGGCCTCGGTCTGCCCGGGGAAGGTGCCCCCGCAGAACCGGAAGGTCAGGCACGTCTTGCCCACGTTCGAGTCTCCGATCACAATGATCTTGAAGATGCGGGTCTGCACGTACGGCTCCAGAGAGGAGTCGGGGCCCGGCGGCCGCCCACCGACCCCCGCCGCCATCCCGCGCCTCCGCTTCACCGTCTCATGCGGCCGCGCCGCCCCACGCACCGGCTGCGGCACAGCTCGGCCCCACGCACTGGCACGGCACGGTGCTGCCCCGCCCCACGCAACAGCTACGGCAAGGCACGACCCCACGCACCGGCTACGGCACCGGCAAGGCACCGCCCCGCGTACCGGCCACGGCACAGCACGGCCACGCCCCCACACCATGTACCGCACCTCGCTGTCCCGCCCCCTTGAACCATATATGGCAGGGCTCCACCCCCCATGCCATATCTGGCACACCAGAACCCCGCCAGGCCCGGGGCCGGCCGGGTGCGTGTTCGCTCCCGGTCAGTCCTCCTCTAGCCCTGAGCTGCTCACCCTACCCGTCACCCGCCCTCCCGTGGCGGGCAGAGGCCTGAGCCGGTCGCCTGGGCAGCGCAGCACAGCCCTGCATCGTCCTGGTTTCCCCTCATCCACTTCATACCCCTCCAAGAGATGGGAGGAACGTGCTTTAAGAAAGACAACATTCTCTGGAATTCCCGGAGGTTTTTATTTGCAGGAGCTCTGTGCCAGGGACTATGGCCTCTTGGTTTCTCTCTGATGCTCCCTTGACTTCTCTAGTCTGTGAAATAAGACGCCAGTATCAGGTCCAAGCTGCCTCCCCTCAAAGGGACATGGCTTCCCACTGTAGCGAGGTAGAAACGTCAAACTGGAGAGAGCTCTCTCTTGTGGCTCAACAGCCAGCCTGGACAGCAGCTTGTCCGCAGTGTGTGGGATCACGGGCTGCAGTAGAGTCCCAAAGATGCGCAGGCATTCCAGAGTGACGTGGATGATGGTGTCAAGCCAGAGCTGCTCAGCAGGGTCTTTCCGGTCAAGTTTCCACGGCCTGTGCCTCTGGAAGAAACTGTTGGTCTGCCTTACACACAGGGTGATACATTCTAAAGCCTTGTAGATCTGGAAACCCTCAAAGTAACCAGCCACCTGCAGAGGCAGAGAAGCCACGGATGTCAGGAGCTCGTAGTCTTCAGCAGAAACTCTGCCCGTGCCTGTTGCCTCCCTGGAATCTGAGACCTTTGGAAAACAAGACTCTGAGAAACAAGGGTAGGTGTTGCTGGGGTTAATGCTGAGGGCTGTGGACCGATTCAGAAGCCCCCCAAGTGCATCTGCCAGTTCTGAATTCACCACCTTAAGTACCTTCTCATGGTAGTAATCACAGTCCCGCTCAGGCACACCCTGTCTTAGCAGGAAGTACCGAAACCCATCCACAGTGTACTGTTCCATACAGGAGAAGGGGTCAACCATGTTGCCCAGGCTTTTGGACATCTTCTGCCCGCGGACAGTCCAGTGGGAGTGCACAAGGATCTGCTCAGGGGGCTGCAGCCCCGCTGCCATCAGCAGAGCTGGCCAGTAAACAGCATGGAACTTGAGAATGTCCTTGCCCACAACGTGGTGTGCAGCCGGCCACCACTCCCCATGGGCTGTGGGGTAGCCCACCACGCTCAAGTAGTTCACCAGGGCATCTACCCACACGTAAATAGTTTGTGTTGGGTCACCAGGGACAGGGATACCCCACTGCAGCCGGCTGCTCTCCCGAGAGACCGACAAGTCTGGCAAGTCCTCTTCCAGCCAGCGCAGCACACGCTGGTAGAAAGGGTCAGGGGAGATGGCGTGTGGGTTCTCCTGGAGCCACTTCCACAGAGGATCCCGGAACGCTGACAGCCTGAACATGTAATTCTCCTCTTTGGTCCAGTGCACCTGGGAAGGTAGGAGCAGAAAGAATGACAGTGGAAATGTGCCACAAACAACTTCCCAATTTGCAGGCAGCGTTCTCAGCAAACGGCTGTCCCACATTCCCTCTGCCTTCAGGTGTGCTCCCAATACACATGAACCCCCAGCAGCCTTCTACGACCAGCAAGAACCTGCTCTCCCCAGACACCCCCTGAGGCCTCAGGCACTTGGGATGGCTCAGCAGCAACTTCTGAAGGTGCTCATGCCCCCAGGGAAGGAATACCTGAATACCTTCCTGCCTGCCAGGAAGGTATTCTGCCTTCATCAGGCAAGAATTACAAGCATAGTTATGCAATAAAAATGAGAAGGCAACATAACATAGTTAATTACTGCTCAGGAACACCCCGGGCACATGCTTTGCCCTTCTCCTGGGCGCTACTTTCCTCCTTTCCCCCAGTTGAAGCATTTGTGCATCTCAGCTGCTAACTTTGTTAGCCTGTCACTGTGTTACAGCACTGACAGCACTCCTCTCACACCACCTTGCAAGACCTTCTCTCCCCCATCCACACTGTTTCTCTTGGACAGTTTGCCAGGCAGCTAAGGCAGGTAATTGTCCTCAATTTGCCTCTGAAGCCTGCTGACTCTATTTTAGATATAATAATTTCCTGGGCTGAAAACTTATCCCTTTTCTAACTACATTAGGTGCTACACATCCCTTTCTGTGTGAACCAATACTCGTGTGCCCCAGCCTCATACAAATATCACAGGAGCATAACCTCTGCCTACCTCTGAAACAATTATCTGCAACTGCTGGATTAAACCACGTAAGTCCTGACACCCCAGAAAATGCAGTGGCAGAGACTCCAGGTCAGGCACCGCACTCCTGGCTGCATCACTGTGCAATCATCTCGCCAGAGCACAGGCCTGTAGTGTTACAATGGTTTATGGAGGGCTGAAACCCACATAACAAAACCGACAGAAGCTGTCCAGAAGCCAAATGGCAAAGCAGAAGTGACCCCCCCCCCCCCGCCCCGAACACCTTCACCCTTCTGCACAGCAAACTCCTCTCATCACCACCTTCAAACCCCGTTTCCAGGCCAGCAGACTGCAAAGCCAGCCCCAGCTGAATCCTTCCCATGGCTGAAATGTGGGGCTTTGGCAGTGCTCCCCTGCTCCCCACACACCACTACAGACACAGAGAAGACATTCCGCGAGATACGGGCAAGCCTCGGCTGATGTAAAGCACAAAAGGCCGCAGGAAGCTTTAAACACCCCCAGATTTGGCCACAGCAAAGCACCGAGCGCTGTGTCCGTGGGAGCGGGACGGCGCCGGTACCTGATGGCCGCTCTCCAGCGACACCTTGCAGGGGCGCCCCTGCGCATCCCTGCCCTCGGCCAGCTGGCTCTCGGGCAGGAAGCACTCCTCGGGGGTACAGTACCAGCCCTCGTAAGAGCCTTTGTAGAGGGTGCCGCCGTCCCGGAGGGCTCCCCAGAAGCACTGCACAGCTCGCTGGTGCCGGGGCTGGCTGGTGCGGGTGAAGTCGGTGAAGGAGACGCCGGCCTGGGCCAAGGCCTGGCGGAAGAGGCCCGAGACGCGCTCGCAGAGCTCCGGGGGCGATGCTCCTGCGGCGGCCGCAGCCTGCTGGATCTTCAGCCCGTGCTCGTCGGTCCCTGCAAGGGCAGCGAGCGGGGTGCTGCAGAGCGGGGGAAGCGGGAGCAACCACCCCCCCACGGGCCTCGGGACACGGGGAAAGGGAACAGCCCCGTGGGAGGCGGGTCAGCCCCGGGCACAGGCAGAGGGCGCGGGGCAGCCGCGGCGCCCAGCGGGCGCGCACTCACCAGTGGAGAGGCGGCTAGGGCCGGCGCCGCGGAGGCCGCGGTGCCGATGCAGTGCGTCGGCGAGCAGTGCGGAGTAGAGGTGCCCGATGTGCGGCGGCCCGTTAACGTAGAAGATGGGCGTGGAGAGCAGGAGGCGGCGGCCGGGCCCGGTGCAGGCGGCGCGGCGGAGCGGGCGCGGCAGGCAGCGGCAGGGCGGTCGCAGCATGGCGGCGCCAGCAGGGACACGGCGGCGCGGAGGGGCCGGCGGAGGCGCGGCGGCGGCCGCCAATAGCGAGTGGGCGGCTGCGCACGCGCGAGGTGGGCAGGCGCGAGGCCGGCAGAGACATGTTCCGGTGCGGCGCGGGCGGGGTGGCGCGAGCCCTGCGGCCCCTCAGTCCCGTGCCGCGGGGCCGTGCCGCCGCGGGTGAGTCGGGACCGGGCGGGCTTGGGGGACCCTGCCCGGGGCGCTGCCTTCGGAGGGGTTCCGTGAGCGGCGTTAGGCGGGAGGCCCCGCCGCTGGCTTCCGCCTCCACGCGGGTTGGGGCTTCCCTTCTCGTGGCGGCGCTTCCCCCCCCGGAACGGAGCTCCGTCCCGCTCTGCCCGCGGGCAGCACGCGGTAGAACCGCGGTTTCCAGCTCCGCAGCTCGCCCGGAGGGCTCTGGGCGCCCGTTAGCCGGGCAGACGGCACCCGGGCACCGCTAATGTGGAACGGGCTCCTCAGCAGCGCCGTTGGCGGCGAGGCCTCGCTCCGCTTCGTTTGCGGCCGCGGCTGGTGCGGTGCGGGCGCACCAGGAGCGGGAAGGGAAACCCTGAGCCCGGTGGAGCTGTTCGAGCCCCCGCGGTTTCGCTGCGGGGTTACAGCGCAGAGCTGTGCGTTTGGGCGAGGAGCTGACAGCAGAGCAGGAGCAGGAGCAGGGGAAGGTGTTTTCTGCATGAGGCAGAAGCACGTTCTGCAGAAGAGCCCGGCCGCTTAGGCCAGCTTCAGCTGCTGTGCAGCACAGTGCTCCCAGCAACCCCCGTGATGGCTCCGCTTAAAGATCTCATTGGGACGGGCGAGTCTGTGACAGTTACAGTGAAACCCAAAGTCAGAGCTGTGCAGGCACACGCTGTGTCTTGAGTGCCGGTGGCTGTCTTCACCTGGACACGCAAGCCCTGCTCCTTCTTTTCGTTTGGAAGGCCCTTTTCTCAGCAGAAGCCCCTCTCTGCTGGAGGTTCAACTCAGGGGAATGAGCTGTGCTGGCAAAAGGATTTTTTTTGCTGGGATAACTGTAGCTACGGCTTGTTCTGGCAAGGTTATGTTTGTCTTTGCTTGCATGTGGTGGAGCAAACAAACAGGGGAAGTTCAGGTGAGATACAAGGCAGAAGCTCTTCCCTGTGAAGGTGCTGAGGTGCTGGCACAGAGTGCCCAGAGAAGCTGTGGCTGCCCCGTCCCTGGCAGTCTTCAAGGCCAGCTTGGACGGGGCTTGGGCAGCATAATCTGGTATGAGGTGCTCCTGCCTATGGCAGGTGGTTGGAACTGGATGGTCTTAAGGCCCTTTCCAACCTGAGCCGTTCTA